TCCCGGATGGCGGACAGCCTCTCGGAGACAGCGCTGGGCGAGGTCCTCACGCTGGAGAGGTGTAGGCAACTGGGCTACATCTTCCACTCAGCATTCGCCAAGGACTACCAAAGCATTCAGTCTGAGGGGATGCTAAGGTCGTCTGTCAAGGAGCAAGGACAGAGCGGCCGCCTCGCCATCCACTTTGTGTATGGTGGAGGTACCGAGGCCCCGCGACAAGGGACCCTCATCTGGGAAGGCAACGACCGCTTCTACGGCAGTCAAAAAGCTCAACTGCACCATCTGGCCCATTGAGACGGACCTTGTAGCGCTCCCTGACGTTTCGGTCATGTTCGTGTCGTCGGAGGTACGCCAGCAAGTCCTGGCCGTAGAGCTCTCCGATGATGTCGACCAAGACCTCGAAGTCCGCCCGGACGTGGTTCAGCTCTTGGTACACCTCCCTTTCCTTCTGGAAAGCATGGTGCGCCTCGAGCCTCTCAGCGTAGTCCGTGAGGTTGGCGTCAGGACGGCGGGCGCGTGGATCATCTTTGTCAGGACATAGGAAGTCAACCATCTCCGCGTCTGGGAACTCCCTGGAGACGAGCAAGTTGAGCTCTGACAGAAGGTTTCCAGTGAGCCCGAGAGGGGACTCATAGCCAGTGACGTTTACTCCATGGCTGTCTGGCCTCGTGTAGATATGCTCCTTTTGCATTTCAGCCCAGTAGCAGCCCTGCCGCTTGCCGTAGTCGAAGGCCTTGAGGAAAAGCGCTACAGAGTAGCCACTGAGAGGATGGCACCACCACTCAGCTGGTCCGACGTCGCCCAGTCGTTCCCTGAGAGCCCTGTCTAGGGATGCCCATGGAGTGCATCGCGCCGGATGATCTCCCAGGTCTGTGCGGACGCGACGGCCCATGCTGTTCCGCAGCTTCAAATGGCCCTGCTCATACAGGAATGACGGGTTTGCGTTGAGCCGGTCGAAAGCACTCTGCATCTTCTCGATGCGGACTTTCCCAGTATCAACTCGGCCTTCGACTTCGACTCCCCGCTCGAAGGGAATCGCTCGGCCCATCTCCATTGTTTCTGCGGCTCGGAGGTTCCTTGTCTCTTCCTCTTCAATGAGTCTTCGCAGCTCATTGACGGTGACCTTGGGTACCTCACCTTTCGGTGAGCTTCCCTTTTCGGTCTGCTCTGTGGGTCCCTTTCCTTTCGGAAAGCCTCCCGAGGAAGAGCTGGCCGACGCTTGGCCTTCGGTTGGGCTACTGACGTTTTCACGTCGCTTGTCCCACCGGCGGCCACCAGGATCCTTCTCGTAGGGAGGACGCCAGTGGTGTGTGAGGTACTTGGGCGCCACGTCGAAGTAGGCCAAGACCACACCGTTAGGCGTGAAGTGCAACGCTTGACCGTCCGCGTACAGGGTCTCGTAGTCGAGATTGACCTTTGCTCCAAAGATGGAATCCTGCCTTGGTGATAAGCAAGGTGAAGGCGCGCTTCCAAGAAGGCACTGGACCAGCAAGCTTCTCCTCACGACTCGCGCTCAAGGCCTGGAGGGATCTCCTCTCCTACGAGGAATACAAATCGCGAGAAAACGAGGTCCTTGAAGAACTCCTGGCTCGTCCCTTCTCTGATTTGGTTGTGGAAGAGTTCCTTGATGACACCAACAACATCACCATCGAGGAGGAGGTCGAAGAGATGGAAGTTGAAGAAGGAGGCTCCTTGTTAAAGGAGGAACTGGACTCAACTCCAGAGGCTGAGCTCGCCGCCATGCAGGTGGATGAGTCGACAGACACCCAAGGTGGAAGCTCCCTTACAAGGGAGGAACCACCGTCTGAGGCTTCCCCAGCAAAAAGGGCGAGGAAGGTCCGTTTTGAGGAGAGTTGCAAGAAGGAAGATGGTCCTGGTCCTTTGCGCAGACGAACGAGGAAGCCTTCGCCAAAGACCGTCTACAGGTTCGAGTGGCCTGAAGATGAGAAGAAGAAGGATGGTCCTCAGAGTTCATCAAGTTCAGCTGCAGGCTTGTCAAAAGACAAGGAAGCAGACGAGATGGACACTGAGCCTCCTCAGTTCGTCAAGCTCGAAGAAGAGACAGGCGTGCACCAAGGAATCTGGGGCAAGCAGAAGACCCATCTTTCTCCCGATGAGTTTCAGGAAGCCGCCAAGATCTTCGCTGACATGGATGCTCCTGGTGAAGAAGCGACCGCCACGGACAACGAGCAGGCAGTGGAGGCCATGCATGTTGTTTCTGAGACAAAGGATCTTCGCCAGTCAGCAGCATTTCGGGAGTTCGTCGAGAAGCACCGCGAGACGGAGACATGGTCACCGATCTTCCTGCTCAGCAAGCAGAAGCATGGAAGCGCCTCAGGGATCTACCACCAGGATCTCCGGGGTGATGATGCGAACTTCTTCATGCTGCAGCACATGAGGTTTCGCAAGCTTACTGGCGACTTCGCGAAGCACCCGTGCGCCCACTACGTGGCGAAGGAGTGTACTGTCTTCAGAGAGATGGCGAAGTTGCAGCCCATCTATGAGAGGAGGCCTCATCGCAACGAAGTGGTTTTTCGCGCAGGCGATGTTCGCAGCACTCTCGACGCAGAGCTACTCCGACGCGCTGCAAAAATGCCGGCAAGGGTCGAAGAGCTGGAAGGGAGACTGCAGCGGGCAATACGCAGGCAGGGTGCCACGCGCGAAGAGCTCACGAATGCGATGTTGCACTACTTCCTAGCATGTGGCATCACAGAGAGTGCAGTGGGAGGCTTGTCTCTAGACGAGGAACCCGAAGACACTGTGCCTGAGTTTCGACAGGAGGCTGGCGGAAGGCCTGTCTCCACTTCCAAGTCGTAAATCACTGTTATGGTGCTCAACCTGGGTAACTTCGAGCGAGGTCGTAAGAACACAGTGCCAAGAGAGTATCGAGAATTCGTTTCGAAAGGCAATGACGGCATCAGCGTTTTGGTCAGAGCAATGGCACTCATGAAGAGCCATGTTTTCCTTTTACAGGAGGCGTCAACTCTTTCTGCTGAAGACCTGACCTACTTGAAGGACAACTGCTGGGAGTTCTGCAGAAACCCGGCAGGAGACCTCATGATAGCCTTCCGTACAAACCATTGTGGCCAACACATCAAAATGGTAGCAGGTAGCACCTACGGCTACGAAGACCACAAGCACATGCCGCTCAGCTACCAGATTGTAGACATCTGCTTCGGCTCCACCTTGTCTTCAGAGACTTTGGATGCCAAACTGGCAGGCCTTCCGAAAGGAAAGGGAGCCATTACAAGGCAGAATTGTCAGCCGCAAGAATTTGATACTCCCTTGACAAGAGCAGGACTGAATCGTATCAGAATCTGCAACTTTCATCTGCATTCTCACATCGCCAGAAAGAAGGTCGCCTTGTCGCACGAGAGTCTCGCGATCATGATGGCCGATTGCTTCAGCATGCAAGTGGACATTATCGGTGGTGATGCAAACATGGCAGCGTACCGATTCCAAGGATCTACGCAGGCCAGTGCATCCATCCGAGATAGTAGTTTCCAAGACATGGTGCGCTACTTCTGCGAAGCGTACAAAGCGGCCCTTGGAAATGATCCATTCACATGCCCTAAGCCGAGGTTCATGTCGGCTAATCCTCTTGGCGTTCTTCACTGGTACGAAGAAACATACAGCATGCCTTATCGCAACGCACCTCAGGTGGATTGGCGTACTGCTCCTTCCCTCGATTGCATAGTCGCTTGCGTCCTCGAATGGGACCATTCGTATTCTCCGCAGCGATGGCCTACGAAAACCGATGCTAGGGAGGCTGAGTACAAGATCCATGTGTCAGAGTGGGAGCTGAACACCAACAGAAGTCATTACATGCTGGTGGACAGTGACAATGACAGTCATACGCCCTTGCTTTTCACCTTGACACCTATGTGGCTGTCGAACCAACAACGCAAGGAGCTAGACCGTCGTGGAGCCACTGTCAAAGAAGCTGCTGACCGCAGAAAAGAGCGCCAAAAGGCCAACAAGGCGAAGGCACAGCCACAAGAAGCACCTCCAGCCAAGGGTGCAGGAAAAGGCAAGGAGAAGGGCTTGAAGGGCAAGTTCACGGGCAAGGGCAAGGGCAAGAGCAAGGGGAAGAAGTGAGTGCAGGTTCAGGTAGGAAGACTTCCCGTCAAGGAAGATATCCAATGTCTGCATTTTTTCTTCTCAGCTCATAAGGAAAGACTTCTTGACTAAGAAGATATTCCTATGCTCCAGGGGAGAAGCCTCTTGAACAAGAGGGAACTCCCTTCTTGTCTGTGATTAGCCAGCCGTATGTTCTTCCTTGAATTTGTGATGCGTGGCATCCTGTTGAAGAGCATATATCCTTGCCATAGAAGGAGATCTCATCTTGCTGTATCTCCTCAGGGCACACACAGAAAGGTGTGAGCCGACACAGTTAGAATGCTTCCTTAAAGAAGGAATCTCAACTGAAGCAGCTGGCAGTTTGATTCTATCTTTGGATCAAACCGGAACCTCGACTGTGATGCGAAAGTTTGCTGTTTCTTTCGAGAGTCTTTCTGCGTGAGTTAGTGCTGTGTATATATGCCGTTTATATATGGAATGTTTTTCACTCCGACGAGTATAGAGCCTGAGCTGTATAGGCAGAGCAAGCCGACTCCACGGCCATGCATCACTCTTGGATTTTTAAATTTGTGCCTGGTTGAAGATCTGAGATCAGCTGGGTCTTGATGTCCAATCATAATGCATGTTGCTCTCATGCTCAAGGTTCTAGCGGATACTACTCTACTCCGTGCGCCTGGAGTAAAACAGAGACTCCTGTCCGCCTTGCTGACTGTACCTTAGTGAGGTCAGTAACGCTCAGGTTACATCTCAGGGGGGGGGTGGCGGGGGTGGGGGGCGGGGCCCGACACGGCATCGCTTTGCAGCTCTTTCAAGGTCCCTGGTTGGGTTAGGGGCGATCCGGGTCTGCTCCAGACACTTCTCGGCAGGAAGCCGAGACGAACTGTAATTTGGACATCCTGACACTTCTCACTTCTCTGGAGGCTGTGGACCTTTCACAGCTGTCGACCTTCGCAGCCTTTGTGGAGGTTGGGCGCGGCTCACCCCTGCACCCTTAACCCTACACCCTAAAGCCTAAACCCTAAACCCTAGCCCTTACGGTTGGGAGTTGAGTCGACTTCAATTTGAGCATGTTCCGGGGTCTGCTTGGACATCCCAAGAAGTGGGACTGCATGGTGGGGTTGGTGTTTTGATCAGCTGCGTGTGCGATCGAGTTCTTGCTTCCGAAAGGCTAGGTCGTAGTCCCAGCATCCAAATCCCTATCCCGCAAACCGCCCTCCTTCTTTGGTTCTTGGAGGAAGCACGGTCGGCGAAGGAGTGAGCCGCGAAGGAGTATGGTATTAGTGTAGATGGGGGGGTTGATCTACATGACTGGCCCTCTTTTGGTTCTCAAATTCTCGTAGACTTCTTGTGACAGCGTATAAGGAGATGCACCCCTACATCTCAACAGGAGTAGTTCGTGTCAAGAAACGGGAGCACAGCTGCCGATGACACTGGGGACCCGCAACCCTGAAGCCTGAACCTCAAGGCCTGCGCCGCCTTATTCTGTTCGCCGGGTTCCCGGGGCGAATTAGCGGGCCTGGAAGAGGCCTTCTTGACTCTTAGCGTGGTGCGGCCATATCTACAGGGAGACAAAGGCTGAGACCTCGGCGCAGGATACTGGGAAACGAGGGAGTTTGGGGTTCAGGGTCTAGGGTTCAGGATACTGGGAACTCCAGGTTTTGGCTCTTCAGTGAGCCTAGGAGTCTGTGACCTGCTCATGGCTGCAAGGGCTGGGCAACCTCAGACACGAAGAAAGTTGCAAAAGGGGAGGCCAAGTAGATGCTTCGGGTTCAAGACGTATGGTCACCTTAGCTCACATGTAGCTGGTCTCCGTGAGCGGTTTTGAGCCACACCTTTCTATACATCCTGTTCTGCACACGCAGGTTTCCCAGGTAGGGGTATCCTTCTTGAGGGTTCCGATAATCAGGATTTTGCATCGAGGTGCAACGTCCAGCTTGCACAAGTACCGGCAGGAAGATGGGGAAGTGTTAATCAGATCTTCTCTAAAACTGCCATGCCCCAGACGGCTCAAGCGTTTTTGTATGGATCTGTCCGAGGGCGTGCCGTCGCTCTCATAGGGAGCTTGTCCCTGACCCTGCACACCAAAGACCCATATGCCTTCTAGGGCTCCATGTAGAATCCCATGCCAAAGCCTGGATTTAGGAATTTGTTGAGGTTTCTTGAACCCGCGAATGGCCTCACCTTGCGAAGCACCAGGCCCGAAAAATGATTCTCAAGTGCTGGGTCGCACGGTTGCCGAGTCCGAGCGTTCATTGGGCTCTGGTATTCCGAGGGCCCTGAAGTGTTTGATGTGTGGCAGCAAGGTTGCCAAGGTTGCGCCGGAGAGTGAGGCTCGGTGGCACTCTGGCCCCATCCTGCGAAGGAACTGATCCAGAAAACGCTGCTGCAGAGCTCGTTTTCGTGGATGTCACAGAGGTGCAAATGGTGCGCTACTTTGTGGAGCGTTGCGCCAAGGGTAAAGGCACAGCGGAGCGCCTTCTTGGCAGTTGCAGGGCTTTGTTGCTCATTCCCTTTGTCACGTGCTACACCCTCTGGCCATGGCTGATCCCTTTCGCAGATCCTGCGGGAGGTATCTGGAAGAATTATGGCTACATGCCCGCGCACTTCATACTCAACTACATCGCCGGACGGACATACCTAGAACTCTGGACTCGGGCAGTGAAACGAGAGCACAGGGATCGGTTCAGAACCGTGATGTGGCTGGCGCCACTGGTCCTGCCTTGCGTCTGTGGGCTGATACACGTCGCTTTCGGCTTCTTTGGACTTTTTCCCACCCCGTTCTCTGGGATCACATCGTGCATTCCAGCCGCTGTGGCCACGCAGAAAGTGGCCCAGTGGTCATGCCCAAACAAAGAGGTGGTCACGAGGGACGTGCGCCTCTTTGCAAAGTATTTGTACGTCGTCTGGGCGCTTTGGGCCGTGGAGCTTGTTTGCTTAGTCTTGTGGTGGCGGTCCTTTCGGAACCTGTCGGCATGGGGACAAGCTTGCAGTGCAGCCGTCATGGGTGGCCAAAGTCTTGCAGATCATCGGAGATCGATGCTTTGACTTGCCGAAGTACTTGTTCATAGAGCTGAAGCTTCATTCGGTCTTCCTTTCCTTCCTCTTCTCCGCATCGGTGCTGTCGCAGGCAAAGAACTTGGTGGCGGTTCTAGTCATCGTAGGCCTCGACGCAGCAAAGGCAGTGGTGGTGGCAGGGGTTTCCCTGGCGGAGCTTGTAGTCGTCTTCCGAGACTTAGCACCGGCTGAGGAGCTCGCCCAGTCGCAGGCTGACCCGCCGAGTAGCTGCTGCCCCTTCTCAAGGGCACGGTTGTACCTGCAGCAGTGGAAAGACGAGCCCCGGCTGGTTCTACAAAAGATCCGCCTCTTTGTGAGCACCATCGAGCAAAAGTCTACACAGGAACTGCAGGAGACGCGGGTTAGTCTTGAAGAGTCTTGCTTCTATAACCAGCTCAGTCGCTGCCTCCTGCTTCTCGCTGCAGTCGATCGTTGTGAGATCCTTGTGCCGTTGATCTACCTTCTCATGTCTGCAGTACTCCGCAGCGACCTCTTCGGGGGGAACCGAGCCTACTTCCTGATCTTTGCTGGCCAGACAGACTCAGAGTTTGCGGATGGCATTCGGAGCAACGTCTACGCCGTGCTCATCGAGTGTGTCGTCTTCATGGCCTTGCAGCTTGCGGTGAAGGCGGCAACAGGGTTCAGCCTCTGGGAATTCGCGTGCTATGCGATCATTATGGACTTCACTTTCTGGTTGCACACGCTGTCAGCAGCTTACATGATCTGGAATCTGACGCTTGTCGAGCATGGTGGGTTTTTCACTCTGATTACGTGGGCGGAACAGATTGAAAGCCATGTGAGTGTGCCCTGGGAATCCCTGTAGGGCTTTAAAACTTTGGGATCGGGGGAAGGAGAACTGCATTGCAGTGTCCAACATTCACAGGTATGCAGATGCTGTCAGCCATCTACATGAGCAGGTAAAAGGCATGCGACCCTTCCTCCAATGTCCAGACGCAAAAGTGTTTCTACTCTTAGTTGCAAGGCTTTCAAAATCCAATGCATTCTGAGCCGGGCATGTGCAGCAGCTCCGAATCTGCGAAGCTGTTGGGCGGGTTCACCGTTGCTCTCAGTCCTACTTGGGGTAGAGTGAAGTTGAAGGGAGGTTGCCCACAACCTTTCCCGTGCCCTGGCTGGTTCTTCCTTCGGCTGTGGCTTTTGCAATGCCTCGCACCAGAGGGGCGAGCCCCAACGCCGCTAAAATTCGAAGCTACTTTTCACGATCCGTTTCACATCCGTTTTCCCCTCAGATGTCCGATAGGCGGAACGAAATATGATGAAAGTATACTTTAACAATAGCAGGAAAATACATAAGTACAAAAACGCAAGAAAGTAACAAGAACAAATAAGACGAAACATCATATACTCGATATTACACTCTTGCATTCTGCCACAATATATAGGAACAGCAAGTTAGGACAATCAGAGTATATTCATACAGTATCATGGCATCTTAATTTCGTCATATCTTGATTCGTACCATCCAAAGATCAGAGTGTCAGACTATCAGAAATACCATAGTACCGGAATATATAAATCTCATCGTAGCATAACAACATCGTACCGTGCTACCGTCATATCAGATAACTTCATCATAATACGTAGATACCATGATAGTGGCCCCGAAACCAACGGTCACAATCCCAAACCCGAAGCCATGGCTCCCCAAGGGCAAGAAAGGGCATGGCAAGCAGAGGTTTGGGGTTTAAGTGTCATTGCAACTTAGCTCAGCTGCTCTCTACGTGAGCTCCCTAAACCCTGCCCCTTAAACCCTTCTGTGGGCTCAAGATGTAGATCACATAGACGACCATCGGAAACCCCACCGGCCGTCTCGCGAAGCGAAGAAGGTTGCGCTCTCATTGGGATGCGGGAGGGTGCCTTAAACGCCCAGATTCAGGTGTGGCATACCCATACAACAGGCAGAATTGCTGGAACTTAGCGCTCTTGTTCGGGGGTGGGTGCTTACTATCTATAAGGGCCTACTATTGGGGGGTCTATATTAGGGGTCCCCCTATTTTGGGAAATACCAGTTTCGGGAGCCTCACTTCCCAGTTGAACAAGGAATTGGCATGATAGCCGAAGCAGAGTTCGAGACAGTACGCTGCAGAACGCCAACTTCGAACCACCCAAGAACCCAAACTCTTCTTGCCTCATGAGTCTAGCCCTTGTGCTTTACTGGGCGCAGCAGCCTTTGCCGTGTTTTTGGGTGTCGGGTTGAGGGTTTAGGGCCCGTACGCCTCTACCCTAGCCTCTGCCCTGGACACCTGAGATCCATATCTCCATGCTGCGGCTCCTGGCCGGCCTGGCAGTGGGGCCACTGGCTGCCAGCCAGGCAAGACCATGCACTGGGGGGGCCTTAGCCTCACTCCCTGAAAAAGGTTTACGAGGGCCTGAATACCCTAAACCCTAGACCGCCTAAACCCTAAGCCCGAACCCCGAACACCCGAAACTTCGAAAAGCAAGAACTACAACCCCGCCCTTTGAGGCAGCTCTTTGGTTCTTTGGGGTTGCGCAGGGCCTGGACAGAGGGTTTAGGATTTAGGGTTTAGGGTTTAGGGTTCAGGTTTCAGGGTTCAGGGTTCAGGGGTTAGGGTTCAGGGTTTAGGGGAAGCCAGGGAGGAAGGTTGCCGCATTCCCACCTTTTGGTGGTTCGCGCCCCACACCTTGCAGGTTTCGTGGCTCCAAAAACCCTAAACCCTAAACCCGAAACCCGAAACCCTAAACCCTAAACCCTAAACCCTAAACCCTAAACCCTACAGCTAGGAATCAGGTTGCTTTGCGTCGGCTCTGGGAGGCGAGGCGGATGGGGTTTAGGGGTTGTTCCCCCTAAACCCTAAACCCTAAACCCTAAACCCTAAGCCCTAAGCCCTGAACCCTAAGCCCTAAACCCTAAACCCTAAACCCCCTTATTCTAACAGTCCTTAAGAGGGATTAAAAAAAGGGGGTACTACAATATCTAGTAAGGACTGCTAGCAGAGGGGTGTTAAGGAAGTCAAGACTGCTCATGAACTCCCTCCCTTGCTTCTTGAGGCCTGCCAACAAGCCACGCTTGATGCCCTCGCAGCCAGCTCCGCGGGCTGGGAGGACGCACGCAGCTTCATTTCAGGAGCTTCAGGCGGTGTGATAATTCTTGCGCCCATACTACACTGTAGTGTACGAGTGTATTCAGCAAGTACGAGTATTACGCGATAGGAGTATACGAGGCTATGTGAGAACATACGATAAAGTACGAAGAATGACTCTCATGCAAGTATGCAACATTAGGAGGTCGGGAGGTTCAACCGCGTTGCGCGCGACGCCTCGACCCGGTCCGGTAGGGACTCCGATGTGTTAGGGCTTTATAGGGTCGGTCCATACGGGCAGCTAGAGACTCCAAAGATTGCTTTGAGAGTGTCCACAGCCGGTAAATGGGCTGTCCACAGGTAACCCAGCCCCCTCCCCGTTCAAGGGTTCTTAGACAATCTTAGAGGGAGGTGCGGAGCAGCCGAGGGCATCGTTCCTCGTGTTTGGAGCCTTTTGTCAGGACGGTCCCGGAGGACAGCAGCTTCTCCAGCTGAACCTTGTCTGCCGTCGGATGGGACAACATCCGGGATTTGGGTTGATCTAGGGTTTGGGTTTCAGTGGTTTTGTGGTTTAGGGCTTGATTGTTCATGCCTGGAGCTCTGGGTGGGTCTGATTTTTTGTTGATGACTTTCTGGGGCTCTGGGCATTCTCGGGACAAGGATGGGCAAGGGTTCGGGAATCATGGGTCCTTTTGCTCCGCTGCTGGATCCGGGCCGCTACTTCTCCACAGCTCTTCTTGGTCATCTTGCGCGCTCTGATCCTCCGAGGACCTCACGGGAAATCTATCACCCTCGGTTCCGGCAGATGCAGGACGGCTGCCTGCCGCAGTCAGGAAGGGTAAGGGTAGCGGACCTGCAAACTGCTGCGAACTCAACACCCTGAGATAAGCTGCAGACATCAAGAAGATCATGCTTTCTTGCCCCAACCCTCCTCTTGCCCAGACCCTCCGGAGTGGGAACTTAAAATCTCCCTCCCCTTTTTCAGAGAAGGGCGGGTTTAGGGTTTAGGTCTTAGGCGGTTTCGAAATCGAAGCCGCTACCAGAAAGTTGAAGGAGCCCAGCGTAGTGGATACCATCGAAAACACCGTCGATGGCGCCTGGACTGACATGCGCTTCCCGAGGATGGTAGAACCACTCTGGGGTCTGAAGTGCGTCCCTTGAACTCACGAGTCTGCACTTCTCTCCTCGAGTTGGGTTCTTTGGGGGCGATGTGTTGTCTTATATATGCGTGGTGGCCGTGTTGCGCGCGCCGAGCTTCCCGCGGGGAGAAAGAAGACCTGCTTCCCGGTTCTTGGGTCACCCTGAAATGAGAGAGAAGAAGCCCTTGTGACCCTTGTGCTTGCAGTTGGCTTGGCCCCTGGCAAGAAAAGCGTTCATGGCCTGGAAGCTGAAGATAGCAGAAGACAGCAGCGGAACATTCCATGCCGTTGCCGGTCGCTAGCCACGAGTGATCCTGAGCCTATAGCCTAAAGCCTAAAGCCTAAAGCCTAAAGCCTAAAGCCTAAAGCCTAAAGCCTACAGCCTAAAGCCTAAAGCCTAAAGCCTAAAGCCTAAAGCCTAAAGCCTAAAGCCTAAAGCCTAAAGCCTAAAGCCTAAAGCCTAAAGCCTAAAGCCTAAACCCCAAACCCCAAACCCCAAACCCCAAACCCTAAACCCTAAACCTTCACCCTCCTGGTCAACCTAGGTATCACGACGAGTGGCGAAACCACCTCCACAACGACCCCCACCCAGACGAGCCCGAGATCGCACTATGGGGGGGTTTCCGAAAGTAGGGGGGTGCCTTGTTGGGGTCCTTCTTATCAGCGGAACCCTACGATTTGGGGATCCATACTCGGGGTCCCCCAGTTTCGTAAACCCCCATATCCTGCCGGGTCTTGGCGAGGACTCCACCTTATGGACACTAATAGCCTTGAGCTTCAGGGCCCGGTAGCGAGGCGCAGCGAGGTGGGCACACAGCCGGCATGGCGGATCGCGTGTGCCACGTAAGCGCTGTACGCCACGAAACATTGCCGCTCTGCGATGCACCAGCAGAGTCCAAGCCATTCCGCCAATCACCAGACTGCGAACGCGTCCAATCATCATCACTTGACGACTCAGAATCGTCATCATCATCCGACTCTGCAACATGAAACGAAAGATATAGGCTCACCATCGTCCACCTGATCTGCCCATCGAACCATTCTATTCCCAGCGAAAGCCCAACCTTCCGCCCAGTTGGGACAAAGGTTTTGGACGAGCCACTTCCTCTTGAACGAAGGGTTCTCGAGGCCCTAACACCCTAAAACCCTAAACCCTAACCCTAAACCCTAAATCCTAAATCCTAAATCCTTAAACCTTAACCCTTAGACCCTAAACCCTGAACCTGTCACGCCAAGGACCACTGCTGCCCCTACAAGCACCTCGCGAATCGGAACCACCACCGAGGCGACATTGGGCGTTTGGGTGTGAGGGAATCCACTCCTTGATATGGGGGTTTTCGAAAAGAAGGGACCCTAACATAGTCCCCAAGTAGTAGGATTCCCGTATAGTAAGGACCCAATATAAGGTACCCCTGATTTTAGGAAGCCCCCCCATATTGTTGTCTTGCTATACTATTGTAGGTTTGTATTGTTGCAGTACTTGAATCTGCCCAGTCTCAGAAGATTCGGACCACAAGGCTCCTAGGGCCCAGGCCCTCAAGGCCCTAAACCCGAAACTCTAAACCTTAAACTAAAAACTTAACGGCCCTAAACCCTGAACCCTGAACCCTGAACCCTAAACCCTAAACCCTAAACCCTAAACCCTAAACCCTGAACCCTAAACCCTGAACCCTAAATCCCAAGCCCTAAACCCCCAAACCCTCTTTTGCGTCGCCCCAGGAGCCGGAGCCGTCGAACAGTGGGAGAGAGGTGGCCAAGGCCAGGTCCGATTTGCTTTGGAAGTCTAGGGTTTAGAGTTTAGGGTCTAGGCAGCTCCGTCGCTTGGTGGGATCTGCCTTTGGGTATCCCAGATTGCGATTGCCTCCGGTGTCCCGAGGAAATCTGGACAACGCAACAACACAGTAGCCGTGCAGCTTTGGCCTGGGTACCTGGATGGCCTCCCGCTCCGAAAGGAAGCTTTTCCCTGAGTGCCAACAGCTGTCAACCACCCCAAAGCCTGAGCCCAGAATCCCAAAAGCCCAACGCCCAAAACCTAAACCCTAAACCCTAAACCCTAAACCTAAACCCTAAACCCTAAACCCTAAACCCTAAACCCTAAACCCTAAACCCTAAACCCTAAACCCTAAACCTAAACCCTAAACCCTAAACCCTAAACCCTAAACCCTAAACCCTAAACCCTAAACCCTACACCCGCGAACCGATACGCTAAGCCTAAACACCTTAAGCTGCTCGGAACAGGAGGCCGAAGAGGCAGGCGGTTGGGCCTTGAGGGGCTTGGGGTCTAGGGTTTAGGGTTTCGGGTTTAGGGTTTAGGGTTTAGGGTGTAGGGTTTAGGGTTTAGGGTTTAGGGTGACTGTTTGGGGTTTAGGTTTCAGGAGGCTTTGATCATGTTTGAAAGGGCTTCGATGACAAACGTTCTCTACAAGGGGGCCATACAACTGACCACTGACTTGTCAACCCATTCGCTCTGGCCCTTTGACTGGATTTCAGGATTCGCCCGTTGACCCATTAACCTAGGAACCCAGGAACCCATTGTATACCCCATTCACCAACCCATGATGAACCCATATGAATGGCCGAAATGATTGGGTTAATGGGTTAACGAGTTGGAGGGTTTTAGCCAACCTAACGAAAATGCAGCGGGGGATAACCGGTTTCCCATATATATCTATATATATATATCTCCAAATACATATGTATGTATGTTGAGGGTACAGGGGCCTTTGGGCTTAGGGGCCTTGATTGTGTTAGGGGGGAACCCGAACCTACGACAAGATCCTAGGCGATGATGCGTCTTCCGTGTCTGTAAGGCGAATAAGTGGCCCTTCCGTACCCTAGTTCTGGACCTCTTACAGTGGGAGGACAAGGAGCACATGAAGGAAGAGGTGGAGGACAGAAGCAGCCAATCAAAGCTTCAAAATTCAGGGCTTTTGGCAGCCCAGTCATACCCTTTACCCTTTTTTGCTGGTTCGAGGTTCCCTTCTAAAGTAGCAAACCCCAAAAGGGTACCCTCGGTTTAGGACATAGGTTAAGGGGTATGCATGCTCAGGGTTCCCTTCATGCCGACATGTTCGCTTGCGAGGTGGTTTAGCAAAAAGGGTCATCGCTCGCCACCAATGGCGTCCTTTAGGGGTTGGGGTAGATGAGCAATTCGCGCGAACAAAACAACTCATAGAGTTATGCGAAGGCTTTGGCCACAACCAAGTCGAGAAATGTTTGGCGCATTTCCTTACACAATTCCTACCTTCCTACCCAAGAAAGCGCATGATACCACCTGGCAAGATCGCGCAATCTCAACGGTTCAGGTAGAAGGCAGTGGAACGGTCAGAATCAGGCAAGCCTGATGTTGAACGGAAGCCCATGTATCAACTCAAAACCCTCAGCCCCCCGGGTAGAACATGTAAGGCTATGCTGAGTTTTCAACCCTATAAGCCCTAAACCCTAACCCTAAACCCTAAACCCTAAACCCTAAACCCAAAGCCCTAAGCTCATCCTCCAGTCTCCAATGGGTTAGGGTGCAGCATTGCTCGGTTGAATGCAGTAGTGTGCCCACCCCAAGACCGCAGGAACGCCCCCCGGGTTTAGGGTTTAGGGTTTAGGGTTTATTAGGGTTTAGGGTTTAGGGTTTACGGTTTACGGTTGAAAGATAAGCAGGCCGAGCCAAACGAAGTCAAGTTCACGTCTCGAATATTTTCAGGTTCAAAGTCGTAGTCGACGAGCAAATGGCTGGAAATAGGAAATCAAATTCAAGGTTTAGGGTTTAGGTTTCCGTTGGGGGCGTTCTCTTTCTCATGGAGTTTCTTTCCGAGTCCAGTCTGCAGGATTGTTCAACTCATCACAAAGGGCGGAGAAACAAGGCTGAGCTAAGGCCGAACTCAATATGGGGGTTTCCGAGAATTGGGGTGCTCTTTTCGGGGGTCCCTTTAAAGGGCTGCTATTCTATTTGGGGTATAAACGGGGTACCCCTATTTTGGGAAATGTCCTTGAGAGGAAATCGTGGATAGCTTGGACAACTCCACCAACTTCAGCAACATTAGCGTCGCTGGAGGGGTCGCGTGGCGCGGAGATGCACCGATACTTCCACATGTCTGCAGGATTGCAAGAAAGTTCGCGTCAAATTCGGGAACGGTTGCCGCTTGAGGACCACTCTAGAGCTTCACACCCAAGAGTACTTCGGTCTAAGATGCAAATGCGGTGCACCTTGCAGAGTAGCTGCACCCGCCACCTGCCCAAGCCTTCCATGCCAAGAAACCCCTAAACCCAAAACCCTAGGGATGGTAAAAAGTGTGGGATTGTGATCTTCAGGCTGTACGTATCCCGAGACCTACCACAAAAAAAACCACAGCGACCACGACTGTGACAACGAAGACGTCGACGACGATCAGTCCGTTCGCTCTCAACGCGGCTTGGTTCGAGGAAGCTTTGAGGCTGTTGTTTGGGGGTTGCATTCTTGACGTGCATAGGCTGCAGGTAAAAACTATTCAGGGTCGTCTTTAGTATGGGGCTGCTAGTACTCGGGATTGTGACTGAGACAGGCAGAGCCTGCTGGGCTTTGGAGTAGTTTTCGCGCTTCGTTTATCAAGGCTATACCCTCTATGCCTGAAACAGTAGGTATTTGAAAAGACCGAGAAAGCAGTATCTTATCATCTTAGTGCAGCTCATGGAGGGTTGCTTTCTGTATTCCCCATGCACATGTTTTCTGAGATGTCCACCACAGACAGCTCCATCCTGCCCGACAATGAGACGGAAAGCAGTAGCAATGCTACCTCAACGCCCGCCGCCACGGGCGAGGCCACAGTGTCCGCCACGTACCCTGTGACAACCACCACCAAATTCACCACGGGCGCCGCCACAGTCGCCGCCACGAACACCGCGACAACCACCACCAAACCCACCGTGAGTGTTGCTGCCACAGTCGCTGCCACAAACACCGCGACAACCACCACCAAACCCACCGTGAGTGTTGCTGCCACAGTCGCTGCCACGACCGCCGCGACAACCACCACCAAACTCACCGTGGGTGTCGCCGCCACAGTCGCCGCCCCAACCACAACCAAACTCACCACTGCCACAGTCGCTGCCACGACAGCCGCGGCAGCCACCACCAAACTCACCACGGGCGCCGCCACAGTCGCCGTCACGACCACCGCGGCAATCACCACCAAACACACCACGGGCGCAACTGCGCCTGCTGCCTCAAAAACGGCCGCTGTGAGCATGACCAAGGCCACGAGCACCACCACCGGCACCGAAACCACCAGTACCACAGCCCCAGTCACCACGACAGTCGTGACAACGACCACAACGACAACCCCAACTACCACCACGACCACAACCACGATCACGACCACAGCTTCAACCTCAACGCCGACAACTACGACGCCCACAGCTGAGACCACAACTGCAGCCACCACCACGACCACGACCACAACTACGACGCCCACAGCCGAGACCACAACTGCAGGCACCACCACAACTGCAGCCACGACCACGACCACGACCACAACTACGACGCCCACAGCCGAGACCACAACTGCAGCAACGACCACAACCACGACCACAACTACGACGCCCACAGCCGAGACCACAACTGCAGCCACGACCACAACTGCAGCCACGACCTCACCCTCGACCACGACCACGACAACGACCACTACCACAACGTCAACCACAACGTCAACCACAACGTCAACCACAACGTCAACCACAACGTCAACCACAACGTCAACCACAACGTCAACCACAACCTCAACCACAACGTCAACCACAACGTCAACCACAACGTCAACCACAACGTCCATCCCTCAGGGGAAGGGGGGGGGGGATGGGGAGTGGACCTTCAGCATCTGACAAAATTGAAAGTCTTGAAGATGCAACGCCGATGAGCCGTTCAGGCCCACGACGTCTCCCGCGTCTGATGCGTTGGTCCAGCTGAAGGCTACCTTGCTAGTTCTTACTCGAGTGCTTAACTGCTTAACATAATGTGCTAGAAGCGTTTCCCATTGAGTCAGGACAAAATCCTGCAATCCTCCCTAAACCCTAAACCCTAAATTCTAAACCCTAAACCCTAAACCCTGAACCCTGAACCCTGAACCCTAAACCTTGACCCCCTAATTCTAAACCCTAAACCCTAAACCCTGAGTGGATTTCTGAAGCAGAACGTTCAGGGCAGGAATCAAGGTCTTCGGCCCATCGGATGCAGTGGCCCGCTGCAGTGATTGGGTCGCCATAGACCCAAGACTCTAGACCCTACAATCCTATAATCCAAAACTCCTATATCATCCCATAATCCGTTATTTCTATATCATCCCATAATCCTAGAATCCCAGAATCCTAGAATCCTAGAATCCCAGAATCCTGTAATCCCAGAAGGCCTAGATGGCCACAGCACTCGCAGGACATGCCAAGCAACACAGAGCTCCAGCCGCTCGGAGCATCGGAGCCTGTGGATTTCAAGGCTGTCAGGGTGGCGGAGCCTTGAGGGTCAGTTTGAGGGCGGTTGGTTGGTTGGGCCCTAGCAGGCAGACTTTGAGCGATGTGGTTCAACCCAAAGCACACTGAGGTTCATCCACGTTCCCTGCACCTTCGGCCACACTGTTGAAGAGGCAGGTATCGGAGGCGCGGCGGCCTGGGAATGCCCGAATGCCCCAAGTCCTTGTACGTGATGGTTTGGGAGCTCCCATGAACACCCCAGAATTTGAGGTATTCAATCAGTATCTCAAGAGAGAGGCTGAGAAAGCCAGAAACACCAGAGACCCCGGGCCACCTCCTCCTGCGCCCCAATCCCGGAACCTTCTGGGGCTCAAGCTGGGTCTTGTTCGAGACAGGGCGCTCTTCCCAGGGGGCTTGTTGGGCCCCCCGTGTGTGGTTTGAGAAGGAACTTTCCTTTGTTCTTTGGAATGTGAGTTCTCGAATCTGATGGCCTTGTCGCCTCCGGTGATAGTCAGGTAAGCAAGATCCGAGCACTGGGCTCTGGAGTTCACGGCAACTCAAGTTTCCCACAGCGGCAGGGCTTCGTTGCTCATTTCCACCTGCAACGTGCTCCACCCTCCCAATGGCAAGTTCGTCCGCGTTCGTCGTTGCCACGCTTAACACGCTGCGCGAATGGAAGTGCGCGAAACTATCCGCTGAGCCCTAAACCGATTTCGGTTGGTAGGGAGATGCGTCTTCCTTGGCCATCCTTGAGCAGAGTAGACTCCACCGATTCGTCCATCACGGAGGTTTTGGACACAAGGCTACCCTTCGGAGCTGTCCGCACGCATTGCCAAATTGCCGAAACCCATAACTTTCCGAGAGCTTTAGAGTTTTTGGGGTTTATGGGGTTTAGGACTTTAGGGTTGAGGGCATTAGGGTTTTTTGGTTTAGTGCTTTACGGGTGTTTAAGGGGTTGAGAGGGTTTTCACGACAATTCGAGTTTCAGGGTTTCAGGGATCAGAGGCTTTTCTTAGTTTTGCACACTTCTTGCAGTATGGGGATGACGGCTTCCAAGCATCTTGGAATGCAATCGCTTTCCTGGCTTATTGTCTAGGGGTTTATTCACTTGCATGCAGGGATTGAAAACATGGGGTACCCTTCTTTTATACCCCAAGTAGAATAGAATCCCCGCCCAAAACCCCCATGTGGAGGCAACGTGACTCCTCAGATTATGGCTCGGCCCTGAGCCGGGACAGGGCTTTTGCTCAGCCAAGTGCCAAGTGGGTTTTGCAAGGTCCATAGGTCTGGATTGCACCGGCCATTTCAGGTTTACGGATTAAGCGCTTAGGGTTTCCTGGCTGCCGCTTACTGCAGACGCAAGAATTGCATTGAGGCATTCTACAGTGACAATTACAGCGCAGTCGCTCGGTGATGTCATCCCAAGCCGCAAGCCCCAAGCCCCATGCCCCAAGCCCAATCCTCAAGCCCCAAGCCCTAAACCTGTGGGATCCGCGGGGTTCCCCCCCAGGGGGCCATTGCTGCTTCCGACGTGGCTTCGCTGGCGAACGACAAGGCGCAGAGTTCTTGAGGTGTTGATTCTGAGGGCTATGCTAGTTTGATGTGTTCGTATATGAATCTAGTAGGTATATTCTTGCATTAGGGTTTTGAGGGCTAGAGGTGGAGGCTCCAGAGGTGTTTTTGAGCTCCGGGTTGAGGTTCTCCAGCTCAAGCACCTTCGCCCCAAAACCCTAAACCCTAAACCCTGAACAGGAACAACAAAGTCAAACCTTTTTTTATTCCTTGGGTTATAGGAGAAGTATGTGTCCGTGAAAACCAAAACCCTAAACCCCAAACCCCAAACCCTAAACCCTAAACCCTAAACCCGAAACCCTAAACCCTGATCAGGCTGGGGCCTTCAAAGTGCTCAGTGGGGCTGCAGGCCAGTGAGGTTTTTTTTCGCCTGCTGCCTGGTCGTTGTTGGGTTCAGGGTTTGGGGTTTAGGGTTTAGGGGTTAGCGTTTAGGGTTTAGGGTTTGGTGTTTAGGGTTTAGGGTTTAAAGATTAGGGCTTAAGGTTAGGATGTAGGGTTCAAGGGCCGAAGTGCTTGTGACCAAGCTGCGACAGACGCACTGCAGGACTGCTCCTAGCGTCCTCGTGCACGAATTGTGGTTTAGAGTAAGGAACCCCAGCCCGAAACCCCAAATCCTACATGGTAGGACAACCTGGGGTTTAGGGTTTTCAGGTTTAGGCGGGGTTTTGGGGCTTAGGGTTTCGGGTTTTGAGGTTTAGGTTTATGTAAGGTTTGGGGCTTAGGGTCGGGCAGTCTGGATCTCTGCTTCTTTGATCCTGAGCCCCCCAAAGCCCCACAACCCCCAAACCCCAAACCCAACGCCCCAAACCCAAAAAACCTTAAACCCGAAGCCTTCCACCCCAACGAGCTTGAATCGTGGCTTACCCATTTATGCCCAAACCCAAAATTGTTTGCAGGGGAAGGCAGCATGCTCCCTGGTCCAGAGACAAATCTCGGGGCTCCGATGGCAAGGGTTTAAGGGTACAGGAGTCAAGGGTTTAGGATGTGGATTTTTGGGGCTTAGGGCATTTTTTATGGTACAGGGTGTTGGGCTCGGGGGGCCTATAAATAAATGTCTTCGTGTTCTGCGTATGTGTGCGCGATGGAGGAGATGCACGCGTGGGGTGCCTCCTATGACTAGCCAGGCTACATGAATCCCTGGACAAAGCAAGGGCTCCATACAGTATGTCTCTGGGCGCTCGTGGACAACAAAATCGCAGAACCGACCTTGGTGGCTCCCTTGAAGTTTTTCTTGCTTTCATAGATCTAAGCCTCTGGATTCATGTGAATGCTAGCTGGGCGTCTCGCTCCTGGGATAGCCTATGCCCCTCTCGAATCCTCGTAAACATATCGGGGACAGAAGCTCGTGCACGGGGTCACTTTGTCCTCAAAACTGTGAAATGAGGCTCTGGGGCGAG